GGCTTCGCCCGCCCGTCCCCGCTCTGCGCCCGGGGCCCGTGCTCTGCGCTGCCCCGAATCGCGCTCGGGTGCGCTTACCACCGCCACAATTAGCCCCAGAGGCTCGGGCAGGCGCAGCTGACAGCTATAACTGATCCCGGTCCCTGCCCAGCTGTTGCAGTGATTTTTTTTTTTTCAGTCATGTCCCACAGAAATTAAGCCAGTAGCTCCAGAACATCCGTTAATACTGACCAGAAGCTGGGGAAAAAAGGACTTTCCTGAAGGAGAATGAAGGGCCGGAGGCAGCCCGAGACCCCTCTCACACCCTCTCTGCCTACCAAAGATTTGCGCCTGTTCTGGGGTGTGAGGCTGCAAAGTCCCGACTCACTCAAACCGCTGTTTTGGTGTTTACTCCTGTAACGTGATGGGTCAAATTGATGCCTGGGACTGTCTGAGTTCAGGAAAGTCCTTTGAGGAAAAAAAAAACACACAGAAGAGAACAATCAAATATGTGTACAAACAAACACCAAAACCGAATGCATAACTAGTTTAATTCCTTTACAGATGATCCCTGTCTGGCATTCAAATATGCAGCCTTTTTCTCATCTGTTCTTCAGGGAAGGACAGTGGTCAAATTTTGAGGAATACATTCAACAGATCTCCAAGGTGTTGAACGATCCCTTCTGCTCGGTTACAAGCCAGTTCCTTGAGTAAACGGATAGTTCATGTGGAGAGAATTGCTTATGCCACCTTCAGCCAAGGCTGGCCTAGAAACCACTTTTACTTTCAAAGATAAAAGCTATTCTTATCTTCTTCCATCTGAGGAAATTAGCAGGTTCCCCAATATGAGTTGAAGTACCACGTGTGGATATCTAAAAAGCTGTAGCTACTGAGCATGCCAACTCCTCCAGAAGGGTTTTACCACCCTTAGCACAGACGCACGCTCCTTTGCTCACGGTTTGTCTCCATCACTTGCTCAGTCTTGTTCAGAGCACAAGTACATGTCTTCTCAAATGTCTTTAGGTGTTTCGAGAGGCAGGTAAGACTTTGCAAAATGTGTTAATAAAACCCAAAGACGTTGGCTATGTGCTATTGGAGAATCCTAACAGCTCCTGTCTGCTTCTTAAGGCACATAAAATACCTTGGGAAGTTGTTTTGTCAGCTTTTGGAGTGAGCCAGTTGTTTCCTCTGTGCTTGCGTGGTGCCTGTCGAGCTGGCCCCCGTCGCTGCAAGCAGGGAACAACGCTTCGGGTGGTGGCCAGCAGCGCAGCTGGGCGCGCGCAGGCGCCTCCCGTTCCAGCTGCCCAAACGGCTGGGCACTAGCACGTCCATAGGGCCTGGCCGACACATCAGGAGACACGGATGCTTGTATTATCTCCTTCCTCAAAGAGGGGGTGTGTTTCTACGCTACGTCACCTACGCATTCCTGTGCGCCAAGGCAAAACTCCTTTCCCAAGGCACTTAATGGAATTCTTGAATCAGAGACTTCCCCATTCAGAAAAACCAGCTGTCCTTCTCCCTGTACTGCATCGCGCGTGGGTTTGAACAGACGCTCAGCACAACGCTGTTTCCAAACCATGAGCAGGACACCGAGTCCAACAGCAGCCTTACCTCCAATATTTCAGCTGGTACAGTATGTAGCCAGCTCGCGGTTTGTTAGCAAAGCTCGGCAAGAAATCCAGTCACGTTTGCATGTTCGACAGTAACCGGACAGATTTGTTCTAGAGACAAAATACAGCTGCAAAACCCGGGTTTGTTTCATAGGTGGAAACTCAAAGATGGGGGAGACCGTAACAGAGGAAGCAAAAACTGAAGAATCAGGTGGAAATAGGCTCTATGCTGCCAGAGAAGGAGACAAGGAACGTGTAATTCTAAGTGCAAATTTGGAGCCTTAAGCATAGTCAAGAGAGCTTGTGAGCCCGGATGCGTGCCCACGCTCCCCTCGAGCCCAGCAAGGGCAGAGGCGAGGCAGCCACTGCGCAGCACTTCATGGCCTCCAGACAAGGCAAACTCCGAGCCAGACACGGGCAGATCCGTTCCCGCTGCAGACTGTTACAAAGTGAGACGAGTCGATTCCTGGCAGAGCACCGGGAAACAGCCCCATACACCCAGTGCAAAGGGCGAGCTAGACACGATTCCACTAACCTGAATGAGTTTAGGGTATTCAGACAGTTTTAGGCACGCTGATCCCGGGGGCAAGGGGGAGAGCGGAAACAATTTTGTATGCCAACGAGCTTTTATGACAGGTAGGGCTTGAGCTGAAGTCTGTTCGGACATCTACTAGAGGTATCCATTTAACTCTCAAAACGCCTCACAGACTCGGTCGTCCCTGGAGGTATTGATTTGGCCCCAGCAGCGTCACAGAGCTTGATCTTCCATAGGTTAACAGCACAGTAAGCGCATACCAAAGGGAGAGTAGGTAAGTAGCATGCCTTTTTAGGGGCCTCGTTCCTTCATGGGTAACAGGCTCCCAGTGGCAGTATTGATTTCTTAAGAGTCAAAACGTCTTAGTTCAGAGAACCTAGTTTGAATTTTCTGGCTTATGTTGTGCAGTACCATCAACCTGGAAACAAGACATTTAGTTTTTGGAAGACAGGATGAGTAAAGGCGGTAGGGAGGGGCAGGCCAGGTGTCAGATATGAGGAACATGGACAGTTAAAGGTAAAGCATGTTCACTTTAAGCTATTATTCAAATATTGGCATATTTAGGTTTATTGTAGGAACATAAGAGTGACAAACTATGCAGTGCTCAGAAAAACAAAATACCAACTCCATAGTTGTTGTCAGTCAGGTTTCTAGTATGGTAAAGGCAGACAAAACCAATTCTGCCAGACTCTTCTTTACAAACGATTCTGAAAATAGCAGCAAGGGTAACAGAATGCTTTTAAATAAGCTCATAAAACAGGCTGTTTGTATAAAATATATCAAGAATGAAAAGGCATTTGTTTTCAAAGTCGTAACGTTCTAAAAGTTTAGCTACCAACAAAACCAACTGAGGACAACATAGTTCACCAAGCAAATTGAAAAATGAAGTTTTACAAATCATTTCATCAGAAGTTATGAATGACTTGAATAAATGGTTTAATACCATCAACGGGGAATTTCACTTTGGATACCCTGTGTAAATAAAAGCAGTGTGTTTCTCCTCTGTACAGTCAGAAGCATAATTTATTGGTCACTAAAAGAGCTGTTTCTAAGCCTCTGTTAATTCAGTGGCATTGACATGGTTTGTCAAAATATCTTCTAGATAAACAGACACTCTTATTCTAGCTTTGCCCTCCAGCTGCTTCTCTATCCCACAGAGATGCTCAATAGCTCCTCTCAATACTTTCTCCCTTTCACACAAGTTTGTGTGCATTCCTAGTTCGTTTTCTTCACCTCCAGATTTCATATATCGCAAGACATAGGATTTGATTGCATCCCCATTTTCTGTTATGGTTTCCCAAATGAACGGCAGGTCTGTGGTTTTTGCCAGGCTTAACAAATGAATCAGAGCTTGGCAGATCTGTGTTCTGAGGCTGGCACTGTACTTAAACTCCAGAAAGTCCTCAGTGTCTTCACTTTTCTGCAAGGCTACCACCAAGGCACTCCAGATCTGGCAGAACTGTTCAGTGGGTCCATAACATTCCCTCTTGCTAGGGATGGAGAGAGCCATGGCTGATTTGATTCGGACTTTAAAATTCTTGCATGACTTCACTACTGAGGAGAGTGCTTTATATGCTTGTGTGGTCCATGGAGCCTCTCCTAAGACAGACAAAACCCCCAAAAATTAAACAACAAAAAAACCCTTTTAAAAATTCCTCAAAATATACAAAGCCATAGAAGAATCTCCTAAGTATTTACTGGGCTTACATTACTGTATTTACACTGGTCTAATGAAAGAATTGGGGGTTATGAAATGAGAAATTAGTTAAAAAACAGTTCATATTCTGAAGTTTTGTAGGAGGAAAAGCAACATTTTGCATCTATTCACAGCTATAATCCCATTCTCACACTCATCTTCTAACATGATAGATCCAACTGAATATAGTAAAGTTACGCCTGTAATAGCGTTTGCAGGATCTGAGCCTATTTCACTGGCAACAAGAGTTCTGGGCAAGACGTACCTCTGGATACAACAGCAAGATTTGACTCAGTTTGCTTTCGTTCTCCTCCCCCAACACACTCATAACTGAGACCTTCTTATCAAAACCACAACCTGCTGCATAAATCCAAAGCCAGTGGGACAAGTCTACTCACCGAGCGGCAAGGCAGGGTTCTTAAATACATTCCCCAGCGCGTAACAAGCATTCCAGCGCACTTTCATAGTGGCCTCGCTCTGAACAGTAGAAATAAGGGCCTGAATAGATTCCTCGATGGTTTCCCTAAATCTGGGGTTTGTTATATGATACGGTTGAAGGAAATGAAGCAGATTCCCAAGAGCCCGGACTGCATTGCTCTTTACCTGGAACACACACACACACACACACACACAAAAATCATTCTGGCTTTGACTTATAAGCAAAGCTTTCGTCAAGCCTGCTACGTAATCCTGCAGAGAGTCAACAAGGAGCCCATCTGGGATCAGACTGGTTTCTTATCAGATTGTAACTTCCTAAATGCCAAAAGAAAGATCATTCTCTGCAAACGGTCACCTGCTGGAAGGAAAAAAAAAAAAAGAAAGAAAAAAACCCAGGCACCATGGAATAGTGCAGTCAAGCACCCTGCAGGTAAAATGACCTGGGAAACATCCAAACACCAGTCCTCAAGCAATGATGCTGAGCTGCAGCTCCCTGTCTGTTGGAGCACCGTGGGGCCAGCAGTCTGCCATCTCCCAGAAGCAAACTAACGCAGAACAGAGCGAACAGAAACAAAGTGCAGCAATGCCAGAAGTGCCCGTATCTGAGATGCCAGTGTACTTCACAGCATTGTGGTTAAGTTTTTTTGTACACAAGGATTTTGATTACTGAAAATAGAGACTACCCCAAAGCAAGTAACTGGTGCCTTTTTTTTTTTTCCTCTAATAAAAAGCAAGAGCTAATTACACCAGGATAACCCCCTTCTTCACCTCAGTCATACCTTGTCTTTGTCCTTGGATGCTTCAGTTGCTGACCGTAACATTTTCAACAGTAGGAGATCAGAAAATTCCTCTTGAAAACTTTGTCCCATTGTCTCCCTAGCAAAAAAATCATATTGAAAAAGACCTACTCAGATAATCCATCCTCAAAGATGGGATACAATCCTTTATAAGGGCATATGAACAACCTTCACTCTTGAAAAGGCTAATATGTAAGACAGACCTTACTACATGTGACCACTATGCTTATTAATTTAAAACCAAGCTATCATTGCAAGAAAGCCTGTTAGCAATGCATTAGGTCTGTAATAAAAGACAGAAGGTAATGAATTGCTGAGAGGCAAGATAGCAGAAATATTTAATAACTATTTCTCCTGTTAAAAATATAACAGTAGGTTGGAATTCCTTCAGTCCTAGGCTTGAGGAAGTGTTAAATATTTATGAATCTTACTTTACTTCCACATAACACAGAAGTAACCAGGGAACACGCAGTTACACAAAGTAACACGTAAGAAGTAGAAAACTGAAAAGTAAACTTGGATTATACTCTAGAACTAAAGATTAGAAGACATAAAACCAAGAAGATCAGTAGAACTCAAGCCCCGATATGATATGGGATACTCAGAATAGTTTCCTACATCGGTAGACACATAGGTTGAAGAGTGGTTAGAAAGAAGCATCCAATTCAGACACATTCAACCACAATTTTCCCACTACAGGCATTTGGCTTTTCTGATACTAAGTAGATAGTACCCTCTATTTGACACTACTGGAATGGTAGCGCTGACAGAGAAGTTCTGCTTACATACATGTTGACAATCAGAGTGTCTGTAAGATTGCCCAGGGACCAAGCTGCTTTGGCACGGACGTTTGGAGATTTGTCATGGAGGGAATTCAGGATAGCGTTTGCTGTATCTGCCACGAACATCACATCCTATAGAAGTAAAAACTGCTGCAAAGTTAGAAAAGCTTTCAAAACCCAAGTGATTTCCTTAGCAACATACACATCTTAGCCTTTCTAGCAAAAAAGAAATCTGCGCAGAGACCAGCTCTATTAATACATCCTTCTTTTTTAGGCAACAATTTTAACGTGTTTCTAGTGCTCTTCGTACAGCTTTGTTTGATCTTTAATTAACAGTCTAAGCCTGCATCGTGACCAAGTTCACCACTCTCTTGGGTAGCTCCTGC